CCCGTCAATGCGAAAAAGGGAAACTGTTTCCAAATTTGTACAGCTAATGGGAAGAGACTGATATGGTCAACGGCCAGAAATGGTAGAAATTGCGGAGGCACTTGAAAGACACTTTCCTTGTAGGCGGACATGGACTCACCTCCCTCGCATTAGGTAGGATCCACGGAGGTGGGTGTACAGTTTGTCTAAAGGAGTTCGCAGTGGCATGAATATCCAGATATTAGCCCCTTATGTATGGTCCGGCAACGCATTCAAAAGCATTTGTGTTCCGAAGCAAATTCAGACATATGAAATGCCCTGTTAATTGAACCAACGCCAAGTTTTCCACGAGGAATCTGCCGTTTTTATTTCTTCACAACCTGTATTCCTTCGATTCTGAACAAACAAGAAAGAAAGTAAAAAAGTAAGTCTGAAGTGGTGCAACTACCCACCTTGATCGGAGCGTAGACTAAATATGGCCTGTCTCGTTTGTAATAGCAGTACAGCTTCGAAATGTCTTTTTCACTCTGGAATAATTTTACTGAAGACGGATTCCGTTCAGAAGCGAATGAATGGAATCGTACCACTGGTACTTCGTTTCTGCACAAAGCCTCGTAGATCGTTCGCTCTTTGTTGCCCAAAACACTTTGTGGCCGTTCGTTCAACGGGCGACCCACTGGCCTGAAATCGACTTCGAATTCATGGGACCACGGTCCCAGTGAATAAACTCAGGTTTCTCTCACCTTCTCATATCAGCCTTCTTGACACCTTCCTTCTCTAACAGCTCTTCATAGAACTTGACGTTTCCCTTTGCGCGAGGATGATTTGGCTCTGAAAAGTGTCCACGTTCGACAGTAACCATGAATTCTTCTCAGTATCTTCGCAAGATCTTCCGCATTTGTGGCAGCAATTCTCTAGAGGTTATTGATGGTAGGTAGCAGTGATTTTTAATACGAGCGCTGTCCTGGTCTCAAACTATGGGAACCTCCTCCGTCAGGCTGCGTTCATACTTGCGGCAGCGCCCACCAGCGTCCAGTAGCCTCCACCAGCGTTCCGAGTGACGGGCAACGTCAGCGACTAGGAAAGTGTAGATATCTTTAT